AGTCGTAGGATTTAATCCACGTTTTTCTTCGAATTCTTTTGGAGAATTTCAATAAGACGGGATTCCAAAAGATCACTGTATCACAACATTGACAATATTTAAATTAAATTGATTCAGTTAAATTGAAAAATAATTCTGTATTAAAATGATTCAAACTCCTTTATGATTATCTTCACACAAACTCCCAAACCGTTTGACCCATTCTCACATTTTCTTGTTTATATAACAAAATTTATCAGAATACTTTTCTTGAAATTTGCGTCAGTATTTATCAAAGTAAAGAATTAATCTCGCTCGTCTATTTTTCTACATGTATCCGATGTTTCGAAGTGATTGAATGATGAAAAATACGCACGTGGGTTCTGAAAGTCTAATCTTATCCTCCGAATAATTTCCAAACTGCGATATGCAAGGCATTTAATCTTCTTAACAAGCAAATTCCACAATTACCCGAAACTTTCCTCGAAATACCATAACGAACTACCACTTTCCGTAAATCACTATCAGAACAAATTATCTCAAGAGAAGATAGGTCGCAGCGTTGGTATTAAAAGGCAATTGTTTGAAGTCCTAATATTTATAAGTGGAGTGTAGGTTGAATAATTGTATAACACCGACACGTGCTTTCTACTTATTTTTAATAATGTTCCAAACTGAACGACTACGTGTCTACATGTATCCGATGTTCCGAAGTGAACAACGTGACTATGTATCCGATGTTCCGAAGTGAGCCTCGTGTCCATTTCGTGTCTATCTCTTCGATTGCGTATTTCACAAGATGAAGGCTCGGTGTGGAAGTACAATTTTTACGAACAAGGCTGAGGAAGCAGTTCCTGATTTCTGTTGGATACACAAATTCAGGTGGAAATGGAAAACCGAGTGACGTATGCGGTGGATCTGGTATTCACCAAAAAGTGACCGTAGCAAGTAGTGAAACCAAGCAATACATCGACATGAATAGGAAACTGCAAATAAAGGTCTACTACTAAAATTAAGGGTTGCAGATGTAAATAATAATGTACTAAAAATACTCGATAGAATGTAACGACTCGTGTGTTATTGCTGCTTATTGATTTGAACCTATATAAAGTGTCCACAGAACCTAAAATTGTATATTACTATATTGATAGAAATTTGGATCGAGATCTAACTCTGTCGCTATGGTATTCCAAGACATAAACTACATTTAACCGAAAACTTGGTACTCAGAATTAACAGCTGATTTGATAAAGCAATACAGTGAACCTATACAGTATCCACAGAAATTAAAAATGTTGTATCATTGTATCAATAGAAACTTAGATTGCGGTATAATTCTCGCTAGATTCTGGGAGAAAGAGATAAACCGGTAAGATTCATTTGGTGGCATAAATATCCTGATTTTTATGATTCTTCTTGGGTATTAAAAAGTCGAACGCGACTCTCCACAGTTATTTAAAGTTTCCTTTCTGTTCGCTGGAAAGTCCGCGAGATAGGAATAAAAGAAAGCGACGTTACGATTTATCGTTGATTATTTGAAGAAACAGAGAAATTAAATTGAGTGCAGTTCTTAGTTCTCGGTATGACTGAGGAGAAGTATGAAACTGTGTAAAGAAAGATTGGACGAAGAGTTAAATATTTGAATTTCGTAATGGTAATTTCGAACACAAACATATTATTAGTTCACTTAAATGTTAAATATATTTGAAATTAGGCTATTGTTTTATTCTTGTTTGAGTCCTTCAAGTTTCCTTGATTATATTGAAATAATAATGAAAATGTTGTGGAATAGTTATGTTGAATAAGTTGTGTTTATTTTACAAATAGTCACACGTGTAACGCTCCTAAAATTAAAAAAGCCCCACCCTAATAGCAGAAAATAGAAGACATCCTCAATGAAGTACGAAGATAATTTCCTTAATAAAATATGAAATAAATTTGTATTTTTACTGTGAAGAACTATAATATTTACATTACATTTTTATTATTAAACTATGACAATTTTACTGAGAATATTTTTCACCTTATTTGTATCAAAAGTTATAACGACTTGAACTGTACTAGGAATCCCACTTCGGTACCTAAATATTTGTACATATCACATTTGTTGACCTTAGTTATGTGTTGACATTCTTGCCAACGTCCACAATGGAATATGCGTTTAGTATATGAAAACATGGTCGGAGGACGCGAAAGATCGAATTAGTTTTACATGTTTGTATATAAATAACGTTTAACAAACTCACATCAGTGTTCTTTAAAAAAAAAACACTTTCAATGCAAATGTAGTTTAAGACATATTCGTGCAACATTTTTCTATTTTTTACCTATAGAACCCTTATACTTCTTTTCAGACTACAGAATTCTCCGCACGTAGACATGCATGCTTAAAATCCCGTGAAATATGTTACTCTCGAAGCGTTGCACGTGAAAAACTATCCTAATAAAGTGTAATACATATGCAGTGAGGACAAAAATTCTTTCTGAAGGTGAAAAGTGTTCGTAGGAAATATATTAACGTAAGACACGTGTACAGCGTTCTACATAAATTCACGCAAGTATTTGAAAATATTTTTGAAATGTGCATATATGAAATCTGAGGGTCATACTTGGTAACCTTTGTGGAAGGTTGAAATATTATGTTGAATTAGTTCGATACGTGTCTTCCATATAAATACAAAATTTTAGGTGATTTTTAGCAAATGCTAAGTGTTAGCAGCTTTGAATATTTTGAAAAATATTTTCTGAACAATTTCTCTTCACAAGTGACTTTATACTTTCATGTGAAGAATAAGTTCAGAGTAGAAAATAAAAAAATAAGTGCAAGTAAGGAATAAAAGAATAAGTTCAAGTAGAGAATAAGAAAGTAATTTTAAGTACAGAATAAGACTAAATGGAAAAAATTAAAGAATATATAATTCTACCCAAAAAATCTGGGTCTTCATATTTTTTCTAAGTTTCTATACAATAAAAGACTACTTACATCTGATAATTTGTTCCTTGAAATATATCATTTAAAACATTTTTCTATAACATCAATATTTTCGAAAATACTTGATGTAAACGGGACACGTACTCACATGTCTCTCAACCGAAACTGTTCTGATCCCCACAGATTACATCGAAAGCTATTTAAGTTGCTCTAACTTTCGACAGCGTGAATACTGTCGATACTGAGCAAAGATTATTGGTCGAAGATCAACGTGAAAGCCATGAATAATTATGTAGGGTATATTCGCAATAAGGAGATGTCGAACGCTGTCGGTGGATGAAGTTCTTGCGGCCGAGACTTCGAAAGCCGTGCAATTAATGACAAGCATGTAATTAGTCTGGTCCAAGCTTGAGTACGATGCTTGAGAAATGAGAGAAAACTGTCTGGATGAAGTTTTAAAGAATATTGCTTATTAGTTTCAAACTGGTAACTTTAATTTAATAATTATTTTGAACGCTTTTTTTTTGATAAGATCAAATTATGAGGAATGCGTTGTGTCATTTACAAACCCGTGTTAAAGCTGAATTATAACATAAATTACAAACGATGCAATATATTTTGTCTATTTCATAAACTAATAGTTTTATGATTTTTAATGATTTTTGTAATAATGAATTATGTGGAGTGTGATGCGTCAGGTGCGTCATTTAGGTGTTTAATATAAAGAAGATTAATGTAATGCAATATGATGTAAATTATAAACAGTACAATACATTCGTTCATTTTGTCTTTTTCGTATACTAATAACTTTATGTTTTTTAATGATTTTTCTAATAATGTTGAATTATGAGGAGCAAGGTGCGTCAAGTGCGTCATTCGCCTATCGAACGTAACGAAGATTAACGTAATATAATATAATATAAATTACAAACTGTGAAATATATTCGTTTACTTGTCATTTTCATATACTAATAACTTTATGATTTTTAATAATTTTTCTAATAACGAATTATGAGGGGTGTGGTGCGTCAAGTGCGTCATTCACCTATCTAACGTAATGTAATATAATATAAATTACAAATAGTGCAATATATATGTTTACTTGTTTTTTTCATAAACTAATAACTGTATGATTTTTAATAATTTTTCTAATAACGAATTATGAAGGGTGTGGTGCATCAGATATGTCATTCGCCTATCTAACGTAATGTAATATAATATAAATTACAAACAGTGCAATATATATGTTTACTTGTTTTTCTCATAAACTAATAACTTTATGATTTTGAATAATTTTACTAATAATGAATTATGAGGAGTATGGTGCGTCAAGTGCGTCATTCGCCTATCTAACGTAATGTAATATAATATAAATTACAAACAGTGCAATATATATATTTATTTGTCCTTCTCATAAACTAATAACTTTATGATTTTTAATAATTTTTCTAATAATGATTTATAAGGGGTGTGGTGCATCAGATACGTCATTCGCGTACCCAACATGAAGAACCTTAACAGAAAATACCACAAATTACAGACAATGCAAAATATTCATTTATTTATCACTTTTCCGGAAATAAATATCCATTTCTCACCGCAAAAATCAAGTATTCTCAAATTTATGTATAATTTTCCTCCACGTTCTATGATACCGGATTTCCAACACACCCATTTGTCTTCCTTTATATTTTTTACGACTTCGAGATACATAAAGTTTTCATATTTAACTAATAATTATTTCATATTACGTTCCTTTTTCTACAACCCTCGCATTCGCTATACTTATCATTTTTTACCAAAAAGTTACCGCAATAAATAATGCCTTGACACGAATAGCAAATTACAAATAAAGGACACTACTACTAATGGTTCCAGATGTGAATAATAATACATTAAACATATTCGATGGTATGTAACAATTTAAGTGTTAACTTAACAACAATTTGTTAACTGCTACGGAACCTATTCATTTGCATAAAGCATCCGAAAAAACTAAAAGACGTATATTATTTTATTGATAAAAATGTGGATCGGGGTCTAAGTCTTATGATGTTCCATTGTAAGACCTAACATCTAAATATCTCACCTGCGCGGCCGTGTAGGGCGAGTTTTTGCCCGGAAATGTTCGTAGGAAGTCTTCGTCGTCTTGTGTGGCGATAGTGGTCAGGTTTAGAAGCAGGGAGCCTTCTGTGGTGATTGCGTTCTTCCCCTCCATACGAGCCTAGTCGGCAGTCCGGAGCATCCGAAGCGCCCCCCTCGTCGACGGCTACCTCATGCTCCCTTATTCCTCTCGACCATGGGATTCCTGGAGGATACGAGCCGTGCATGGGAATCTTCGCTTGATTCCTGGAGCCACGATTGAGACCTCAAGCGCTCGTCGTTACCGCTCGACCGAACCGGCTCTGGAATCAGCGTTTAAACGATTGATAGGAGTGGACAGATAATTTGTACATAGCGAGATCGTGAGAGGAAATATTATACCTCATGCAATAACATTCTTGTCATACTTAACGCGTTAAGTGCCATGTCATCGACGACTGATATTACAATGTTTATTTAAAAAATTTCAAATTATTTGAAAATAAAAAGCTTGCCTAAAATTATTACTAAAGAAGAAATTTGATAATTTCGTAATTTTGATAATTAGGAAAAGTGATTATTACAAACATTACAGGTTTTAATTTTCTCTTTAATTTACGAATATTTTTGTCACTAATAAATTTTGACTTATTTAGCACAAGCTTGTTTCAAATGCAGACAATGATCACTTTTCATCTTAATCCAATAATCAAAATACGTTCTTTAAGAATTTTTTCATTATTTTTCAGAGCTTGTCTTTAATGATGAACAAATTACGTGTACCAATAATTTTAATATCCTCGCCACATTTATTTAGCATTTCACAATAAACGAGACTATACAACAGAGAAAAAAAAATGCAAGAACGTGTCTTATTCAACGTCCAAATAATTAGAATCTTGACAACTTTACTACTCTCAAGATTAAAACCTTGATTGCTAGCATCAAGTAGCCTCCTCTCCGTGAGACTATTCTTCTAATTAAGGTTTAAATTAATGAAAAGTGTGGGAGTCATAAATCGTGCCTTAGATCTAGTTCATCTTTCACCGTTCAAAGTATTTGAATTCCTGGAATTATCCAATATCACACGTGATCTCCATAATTTAATCATAGGGACCACATAAATGCTTACAGAAAAATGTTTCATAATTTTCTAATATCACATAACTTCAATCATAATTCAATTAAATGAACCTTCACAAAGAATATTACATTAGAAATTTAGTGTTTTATGTTAAATTAGAAATTTTGGTGTTGCATGAAACTAGAAGTGCAAACAAAGTCCTTCAGTTTATTAAATCTACTTGAAAGAAAAACGAGATTAAGTTGAACAGTTTGCAAAATATCAAGATCAATGATTTTATACCTTCGAAACTAGCTTAACGAAAGTTACCTTAATATACTAAAATCAGCTCCTAACCGTGATACAGTTTATTTATTACAGTATATACATCACGAATATTATGAAAAATAGCAGCAACAATCCGTAGGTTATCATATTTCAGCACACGTTTATCCACGAACTTATCATCCACATCGTACACCGAGCGTGCACGACCGTAGCCGTTTCTTTGCCGATAAACTTCACGTAATCGCTCGGGCTAAGCCCTTTTTAACCTGTTATCCATTACAGTGAATCATGGCGTGTCGTTCAGCGTCGTTGCGTTGCCTAATCGGTGCCCTAAGTCGGCTCGTAACCCAACAACTTCTCTATGGAACCGCTGTAGCTACGCTACATTGGTCCCATTAATTCCTACACATCCTGATGGTCGAGTTCGATCGCGGTCACGGACTACCCTTAAATTTATCTTCAAGCCTACGATACACCGCGAGGGAGACTTCAATTAGGTGCGAAGCTCCAAATCGTTGTTTGGTCAGGGGAAATTATGCGAAAATCGGTCAACGTTCGATGAGTTAGAGGAAATGCCTCTTTTGAAATAAATGAGAGAGCGAGTTTTATAAGATTGCTAATATATTGCAGCTCATTTTGAAAGATTGCCAATAGGGTGCATTTTTAAATATACACAATATGTCGGAAAAATAACTTTTTAAATAAAAAGAAAAGAATTAGCTATTTTGTCAAAATGTTGTTTTGTAGAATCGCTTCAAACACACTTGTCACAGCTGCTTGGACTTGTGTAACAGTGTCATAAAATGTTTCTTTTATACCTAATTTAAGTTTTGGAAAAAGGAAGTAACATAGAGATAAGTCAGGCAAATTTGGAGGATGTTGGAGCACACAGACTTGTTTTTTCGCCAAAAATTCACGGACAGCGACAGTTCTGTGACATGGTGCGTTATCATGCAACAGAAACCAACTTCCCGGCGCTCGATATTCGGGCCTCGCATGAACGATCCTCTTCCACAAATGTTCCATAACACCCAGATAATATTCGCCATTAACATTTTGTCCCTGTGGAACGAATTCCCGAAGTATAATTCCTTTAGAATCGTAAAAGCAAATTAACATTGTCTTCTCTCGGAACTTCTGGAATCGCAATTTTTTTATTTTGGAGAGCCTGGAGATTTCCACGTAGCACTTTGTCGCTTTGTTTGAGGTTCATACTTGAAGCACCAAGTCTCATCACTAGTTACAATTGATTCTAGGAATGTACAGTTTCGTCTGGCTGTTTTGATAAAATCCTCGCAATACTCAACGCGAGCAATTTGTTGCGCTTGCCCGCGATTTTGTGACACGGTGACGAAAGGTTCTGTCGCATTAAACGCTATAAGTTTACAATACATTGCTCGATTCCAATAATGATTGTTGTGTTTTGTAGGAGAGGACTGTTTTGAGATAACATATTCTTTTAACAGATGGCGATAGTTTTCCTTAAATTTAAAAAGTTCCGTTACTTTTCCAACATACTGTGTGCATTTGACTTTAAAAGATTGCCAATATGGTGCATATGGTGCACCGATTTTAAAATATTAATACAGTGCATTTGACTTTAAAAAATCACTAACATAGTGCATCTGATTTTGAAAGATCAACAATATAATGCATTTTATTTTAAAAGGTTGCGAATAGTGCATCCAACTTCAAAAGATTGATGATACGGTGCATGTGATTTTAAAAGAACGCTAATATGCTGCATCTGATCTTACAAAGTTGCTAGCACAGTGCATCTGATTTTCAAAGATCACCAACATAGTTCACCGGATTTTAAACGATCCACAATATACTGCATCTGACTTTAGAAGGTTGCCAATACGGTGCATTTGACTTTAAAAGATTGATGATACAGTGCATGTGATTTTAAAAGAACGCTGATATAATGCAGCTGATTTTCAAAGATCACCAACATAGTGCAGCTGATTTTAGACGATCAACAATATAGTGCATCTGAATTTAGAAGGTTGCCAATGCAGTGCATTTGACTTTAAAAGATTGATGATACAATGCATGTGATCTTAAATGAATTCTATGCTGTGTGAGTTTACAAAGTTGCTAACACAGTGCATCTGATTTTAGATCACCAAGGTGATGCATCATATTTTAAAAGATCATCAATACAGAACATCTGATTTTAAAACATCACCAATACTGCATCTGACTGTACGAAAATTACTGTTACAATGCTGTACTGTTACAATGTGATTTTCAAAGATCTGACTGTACAAAAATTACTGTTATAATGCATGTGATTTTCAAAGATCTGACTGTGCAGTAATTACTGTTATAATGCATGTGATTTTCAAAGATCACCAATATAGTACATCTAACTTTAAAAAATATCTAAATTTGTCAAAACGTAAGAAGTTAATCTGATATCCCAATAAATACAAAAAAGTCTGATTCTTTACATTATTTTGTGAATTGCTGTAGCTCTTAAAATAATGCAGCAATTATTATGTATTATAGTAATGCAACAAATATCCATATTGTAAATTTATTTTTGTTTGTAAGCAAAACTGTAAATATTTTTCCCTAAATTTTATCACATATAACAAGTTTCTTCCACACATTTCATAAAACTAATATAAATAACATCAGCTATTAATATCTGAAAAAATTATAAGAATCCTACTTGTCAAAGAATATATAACTCTATTCAGTAAAAAATCTGTGCTTCATCCCCTAAAAAATCAATTTTTTTAAAACTCTTATCTCACACCTTTACTCTACCATGAAAAGGTTCATTTAAACCACACGATCTGTCACTGGATCACGTAACAAGGTACCAGTTCCATTTTCACCAAATGGAGAGAAGGAAACAGGCCAACATCAACGAAACTAGAAAGTATATTGTTGAGATCCAAGTATATTGCCCAGAAGGTTTTGTCCCACATGGACAGTGATTACAATGGCTTGTTTGGTGCCCAATGTTTCGAAAGTTTCCGAGCCTTGTTACGAAATAGGAAGTTTCCTTGAACCTTTGTTTCTTCACCGGTTATTTCCTAAATAACTCTCGAATATCGGAGGATTTATCGACGAGTCAATGAGACGAAAACAAACGAAAGGCAAGGTCGCCATTTGTCAATAATGTCAACAATAAATTTAACTCCTAGTGGGATAAATTCGGCGCTTTCCATTGTTTTCGTATGATCAATATAGTGTCTGTTTTTAGACAAAAAGCATTTTTATAGGAAACAGATATTTCTGGTTGCACCATCTGATGACCCTATTCTGTCTTCAGCACAGATGTTCTTCTGTTCCAAAAAAGATGACGGTTTTATAGATTCGGTGAACGAAAAAAACTTGATTAATTTTAGTTAACATTAAAATTACCAAACCGGTCGAAGCTCCACAAGTTTCTGATAAGGTACACATTTTCTTAAAGTATTGATTTAAGTATCAAGTAAGTATTGATATCAAGTATTGTTAAAGTATTGAATAAAGTATTAACCAGCATTAATTTTCATCAAGATAAATGATAAATGTGAGTTCTAATTTATATTTCGTCGTTTATTTATTTATTTTTTAACTTGATTTTTAATTTCAAATTAAGTACATTCTACATGCTGGTAGGTTTAATCTTAATTTCATCAGAAGTAAATTAGAAGTGTCTAGTTTTAAAATTAACTTGTCAGATGGATTTAGACTTATACCGTGAGCGACAATCCAGTAGTAGAAGTCAGTGTTTCAGGCTCCAGATTCTAGAATCAAGTTTTGATAGTTTTCTGTAAAAGTGCACTTTATCGCACCAGGAAAACTGATAATACCCACAGTTTCTTTAATGTAGAGAGTGCAAATGGTTATGAATATTGCATGGAAGGTTGGAAATAACGTAATTCTCCAGGAAACCGAGAACGTACTCTATTTCGATTTCCACCACCTGAAAACTTCATATTTTATTCCAATCTTCCAAAAATGAATCTG